GAAAAAGCCCAATAACATAAGAAGCTTGAAATAGACCCTTCTTCCTAAAGGAGAGCTCTGATGTAATCTGTTGTTTTTCTTAAAGCATTTTCAAGTATCAAGAATCATGTACCTACATTTGATTGATTTTGCTGACGTATAACTTTACGGCTCAATCCCCAGTTACGTTTGAGTCGCCGAGAGGCTAAACTTGGCTATAAACTGTGACGCGTTTTCGACGAGAAAGTCCATATTGAAGAAAGATAGTTTTAAGGATATTTAATAAACAAAATCAAAACATAGTAACTATGGACAAAAACGGTCAACAGAAAAAATGACAGCTCAAGCTCACCCTCTGTCATCCCACTCGACATCAAACAGGTGACTTAAATAGACAAACCACACCCATGTGACAAGTACCGGAAGTGCTCAACAAACAAGTGACGTAAACAAATAATACAAATAATGAACTTGGGCTAAGTAGCATTATGGCACCTACAATACCTCGAGTGAGCGGCCCAGCCCTTCGTATATTTTTCTGTGTGTGGCCCTCTGTGAAAAAAGTTTGGACCCCCCTGGTGCAAAACAATAATAGTTTTACGTTTCAGTATTTGTTTCAGCAACTGTGACTGAAAGAATATTGCAGAATAAAACCGACCCAGTTGTGATGAAAGTGTTTCCTCCCTGTCTGTTCTCCCAGGTTCCCCGGCTGCCGGACCGACCTGGGAAAGGCTCTTTCTGGGCGCTGCACCCTGACTCCGGGAACATGTTCGAGAACGGCTGTTACCTCCGGAGGCAGAAGAGATTCAAGACGGGGAAACAACAAGCCACCGGTACCGGGAAACAACAGTCCAACAGTACCGGGGAGAAGGAGGAGAAGGAGGAGTCAAGTGGAGGGAAATCGAACTCGGTTACTTCAGATTCTCCTCCTTCCCTACCTCCTTCCTCCTCTTCTCCTCCCGTGACCCTCAAATCTCACCAGGATCTCGACCCGGTGCAACAGCGTGTTCCTTCCCCTCTCGTGCACACTCCTCACCTGTATCCGATGCTAGTGCACGAGGCGTCTCACCTGAAACCAGACCCCCACCCCCACCACCATTACCCCCCACACCTGTACTCCTTCAACCACCCCTTCTCCATCAATAACCTCATGAACGAGCCGCAGCTCCACAGACTGGAGTACGGAGGATATGGAGGTCAAACGGGGGTCAAACAGGGACCGGATAACGGAGCTATGCCTGATAACGGGAACTACTACCGGGGAGTTTACAGACCCCTCATGAACTCCTGAAGTACTCTTTAAAAAAAAAAAAAGAATTAAAATCGTGGATTTCTACATTTGTGAATGTGGGTTGCTAACCGAGTCTCTTAAAGTTAAAGGTCCCCTATCATACTGTTCTTCATCACTATATCACAGGTCTCAGATATATCCAGAACCTGTCTCTGATTGGCTGGAACACCAAACAGATCATTGCAGCATTACCCATAATCCCCTCTGTTTCAGCCCTGTTTCCAAAGTGCTGATTCTCTGTCTGTTACTTTAGATGAAAATAAGGAGCCCCTCCCCACGCCCCTCTGAGAGACATTTGGTTACAAAGAACTCAATGGTGCATTCAGGTGATAAGGGGGGGGGAGGGTTACCTTGGTTGCTGATTGGCTAATGGTTACACAAGACAAAACATCGTTATGACATCATAAAGTGGCCACAATCTGATCAGCTCATTTTCAGACAGGTTTTTATATAAATGGATATTTTTCCCGGAGACTTTCAGAGTCTCTTTACACAGAGGGGGGGGACACATGTTGATGTAGAAGAGACATCTCTTTACACAGAGGGGGGGACACATGTTGATGTAGAAGAGACATCTCTTTACACAGAGGGGGGGGGGACACATGTTGATGTAGAAGAGACATCTATTTACACAGAGGGGGGGACACATGTTGATGTAGAAGAGACATGGAGAAGTGGGTTTTTCAGAACAGGTGAACGCGTACACTTAACCTGACTTTACATGGTGGCCTTTGAAGGCATCCACAGGAGTCAATGGGAATGTTTGGGTATCAAATAATGATGATGATAATACATTGGATTTTTATAGCGCTTTTCCTAATGCTCCAAGACGCTTTACATGAAATCAGAACAGAAACGGTACATATGCAGCCAGACACATTTCCAAA